AGATACATGATAGATCAACCCCTTGAAGGCAACACTGATACAACCCCACCGCCCTCACTCTTAAACACACACAGGCTACGCCATCTATGAACTACTTGGACGAGAATTGTCGCTAATATGTACATGTACCAAGGGAATACTGCCGGGAGAGTGGGCAGAATTGGAGGGGGGAGGGCAGGGAGGGGGGGGGGGGGGGCTGGTGACCGGAATGATGGGACACGTTCATTATTTAGGCAAACCTTTCTTTCTTCAGAAATGTGAGTTTTCAATAAATATTTTCTTCAAATGTTTTGGACCATGTGGCCTACCCCACCCCCCGGCCTACGCTGTAGCCATGGGGTGTCCAGTATGTCGCTTTCTTATTAACATTTAGTGTATTGCTTATGTAATTTTGACTGTTTCGGTATTATGAATAGCGACCCTCTCGTCGCATTATGAATAGCGACCCCCTACTCCTATTATGAATAGCAAACCTCATTTCGTATTATGAATATCGACCCTCTACTCCTATTATGAAAAGCGACCCTCTTCTCCTATTATGAATAGCCACCCTCTTCTCCTATTATGTATAGCGACCATCTACTCCTATTATGAATAGCGACCCTCTATTCCTATTATGAATAGCGACCCTCTTCTCCTATTATGAATAGCGACCCTCTTCTCCTATTATGAATAGCGACCCTCTTCTCCTATTATGAATAGCGACCCTCATTTCCTATTATGAATAGCGACCCTCTTCTCCTATTATGAATAGCGACCCTCTTCTCCTATTATGAATAGCGACCCTCTTCTCCTATTATGAATAGCGACCCTCATTTCCTATTATGAATAGCGACCCTCTTCTCCTATTATGAATAGCGACCCTCTCCTCCTATTACTTGTTACTTGTAGAGATAATCCCGATGGCAGCTATCATACAGCTAAACTGGGATGTCCGTGCAACGTGCTGGCATAGTGACAGTGCATGAAGTAATTCAAAACAGTGAATGATGTCTATTATTTACAATAAAACGGTGGACGTGCAAGTAAAAACCAAGACGTGGAGTCTACAGTAGCTTGGACCCAACAGGAGGAGGCAACGCTCTGATGATGGGTAGAGCAGCCTCCTGGAAGATGGTCACTGTTGGAGATATTACCGCAGCAGCTGATAGGTGGTTCCACGTCCAGATGGTGCGAGGATAGAAGGAGTACTTGAAGCTATCAATGGAAGCTGGGGGTACTGCATACTTCAGAGGGTGATCATTTCTGCCCAGATATGTAGCTGGGATAATGTGAGTGGGAAAAGGCATGTTGAGTTGATGATGGTGCATCTTGTAAAACAAAGTGGACTGTGCAAGAAGCCTGCGATTGTGAAGGGTATCCCATCCCAGTTTGTTGACAAGTGCTGTGACTGATGTTACTCTCCGGTAGTCTTGGTATACAAAACGGGCGGCAGCTCGCTGTACTTTCTCAAGACTTTGTATTGATGTCAGAGTCCGAGGGTTCCAAGCTTCACTGCCATACTCAAGTTGGGGACGAACAAGCATTGTGTAGGCTTTGGATTTGATGTTCTTGGTGCACGGTGATAGAGTTCTGCGTAGGAGGCCAAGGGTTCTATTGGCTTTCTGGGTGGTGAGTTTACATTGGGTGTTCCATTTAAGGTCATGGGTAATCGTGACACCAAGATACTTGTATTGTTTTACTCGAGGAATTGACTCATTTAGTAGGGTGTAGTCCACTGTGATGGGGTGCTTCTTGTTTGTGATTGACAATGAAGCACACTTCTTGATGTTGAATCCCATCAGCCATTTAGTAGACCAGTCTGCAAGAACATGGAGATCTTCTTGCAGTATATGAGTGTCTGAGGGAGAGTCGATACGCCGGTAGATGACACTGTCATCTGCAAATAGACGCATTGTGGACTTGATGTTGAGTTTGATGTCATTGATGTACAGCAGGAAAAGTACGGGGCCGATGACAGAACCCTGCGGTACTCCTGAAGTTACAGGCATCCATGCTGAGCGAGCACCATTGACGACGACAGCTTGATGTCTATTCGCTAGGAGTGACATAGTCCTATTATGAATAGCAACCCTCATTTCGTGTTATGAATAGCGACCCTCTTCCCGTGTTATGAATAGCGACCCTTGTAAGCAATGAACCTTATTTCGTATTATGAATAGCGACCCTCTCGTCGTATTATGAATAGCGACCCTGATTTCATATTATGAATAGCGGTCCTTATGATTAATGACCCTTAATATGAATTATGAATAGCGACCCTCATCTCACGTTATGAATAGCGGTCCTTATGATTAACGAACCTTATTTCATTATGAATAGTGACCCTCTTTTGCCATTATGAATAGCGGACCCGGAAGTACGGGAATTTACACCTTATGAATAGCGGTCCTTATGAATAGTGGTCCTTATGAATAGTGGACCTTATGAATAGCGGTCCTTATGAATAGCGAATAGACCCCTCTACGTTAATACTTAACAAGTTATATCTTTCTGAAAAAAACAATGGTATTACGAACATATATACAGACACCACCTCCTCTAGTGTTATTATTCCTGTCTCTTCTTATTAATTGATAACCATCAATTCTAACTACGCTATCATCTATCATGTCATGCAACCATGTCTCTGTAAGACGTAATATATCATGATTGATCTTAGAGATCAGAAAACGAATTTCATCTATCTTCCCATGTAGACTTCGAACATTCAGATGACCAATTTTTAATCCTTTTACTTTGGAGAGTTTACTAGCACACTTGTCATGCTCATTAAGAAATGAAAGTAAATCACTTTGCTTCAAAGATACTTCGCTTTTAAAGGCACATTCTTCCTGGCCTGCAACCTAGTAATGGCACATTTTTTCTTTGTGTCCGTAATATACTTGTGAGCTTATTGAATAGGCAGATTCAAACTGAGAAAATGAAAGCCTACTCCTTACAACATAATTCCAGAAAAAATGATAACAATGAGTGGATGAAGTAATTGCATACTTACTTATTGGACTTGTGTTCCCTGACTCCACTCCTTCGTCACTCATACCTTAATACATGAAGAAATAAATTCAAATTGACAAGAGTTGAGGTCTAGTGGAGGAATTGGAGGGCTGTGGATCACAAGGTATATGGTTCAAATCTCTACCATAGCAATACTAGCTACTGGCAAGATATACATCTATATTTTCGGGGTTTGTGGTTTTGAGTTTCCTAACACCATTTAGAGATGGCTTGGAAATATTAAGAACATTATTATTTGACATAAACATTTCAGGTACAATACGTGTGAACCTAATCTCACTCCTGACACCAAATATAATAAAACATAATATTCTATATTATATCCTGCATCAAAAATTGGTTGGCTTTTGATTGGTTCAGAGCTCGTCACATGGCCAGAAATATTTGACCTATTTTTAGAAATTACTATATGAGAGTACTATTTTGGTTTACTTGTTGGTAGTTGACAAAAAAAAGAGAATTTTTTTTTTTAATTGAATCAATTTTTTTTTGTTAATCTTAATTTAATGAAAACATAATTTTTTTATTTATTTTTTATTTTTTAAAATAAATTTTTGATGCAGGATATAAAACAAATATACCATGCCTTCTATTCGAGGTACTGGTTAAACTATGGGCCTCGATGACTCCAAAAGTACCATTTGCTTCGGGGCTGCGCCCCTCAGCAAATAGTACTATTGGAGTCACCTCTTGCGCATAGTTTTAACCAGAACCTCTCAAGGCAGTGTATATTTGTATACTATTTATATAGAATGGTAAGATATTTGTGAGATTAATTGTAATTTCAATTTTGTTTCAATCATAATTATATAAAGTAATTAAGGTTAGGAGTAATAAAGGTTAGAAGCCATAAAGAAGCAACAGCCCATAAACAGGCTTTTTATTGGATAGACACTCCAGATTCAAACTAAGAAATTTTACAATCCTACTTGTGACACCATGATTCTAGATAATATTTGTCTCTCGTTAATTGTACCTAAATAACAAAAGCAAAAACAAGAAGAAGAAGAAAAAAAAAGAAAAAAGTAACTTTATGAGGAAATCCAATCAAATAGAAATTACTATACACATGTCGCATATGAATAAAGTTAAGCCTTAAGGTTCAACCAATTCATCACCAATCTCATCGTTTGTGGAACATTCAGTATTTGTTTGATCAAAGTGAAATGTGGAACAGATCATCATGGCATGTTGATAATTATTAAAACAGAATCAGGGCCTCTTTACATCACCTGGGGTTCCACTTATTCTTTTATACACAGGAGTACAATAATTGTGCCAATAATCCCAAAGTATGCCAATGGGCTGAGGCCAACAAAAAAACATGTTTAGCGTACGGTTTTTTGGAGAAATAGGAAGGAGGAGGCCCTTTTATTGTTTATGTTTTTCTTTCAAAATGGCCGCACGGTACATTTTTCCGGACAGTCAGACTATTTTTCAAGATGGCTGCCGGTATTTTTGATTTATTTTTTCATCAGTATGTTTTTCATGTTTTAATTCACTGAAAAAATATTTTTTTAAATAAAAACAAAATAAATAGGAGGCGGCCCAAACAAGGAAGCGGGCGGGGACAATAAACATGTATATTGTTTTACTTGGCCTAAACTATTATTTGTGCACAGCTAGAAGATATAACGTCAACTTAATGCAATTTTACCTGGCATTCTATGCATAAATAGTTGAGGAGTATGAAGTAAAGTCAAGTACAACATACCCCCCCCCCCCGCAAACGAAACTTAAGTTGGACTTGAGTTCCTTGCAGGCCCTATTCTATACCAGTGTGTACAGGTGTGTCAAAATGTCTACACATGCATGGTGCTCTCATGGAGAATTTGACACCATTCGGGTGCTAACCAAATAACAGGTGTTATTAATCAGAGGATAAGCCTTCAGGTTTATTGGCAACATGTCTTATGTATTGCTCTTGATTTCCCATCAATTACCCCCATATGGAAAAAGTTATTATCTTACATTTCCCTCACTCAAAGACTCTCCAAGAGACTAGGGGCGTATTTATTAATGGCACCATCGGTTTGCTGTGTGGGAGATTTGTTTCAATACAGAGCAAAATAGATTTTGGTGGGGTTGCCAAGTCTTATAGACCTACCAAACTTGAACTTGATTGCAGCTGTACGGATGCTATGTAGTCCACACTTGAGTGACATTCCCTTGAAGCAGTCTTTAAGCATTTTCTTCTTACTGCACCTCGGGCACAGAAAGAGTACATCATACTTGATCCTTCTAGCCCAATGCTGAATAAGGCTATCAAGGGTTTGCGTTATAAAGTCCATCACCTGCCATGAATACACACACAGCCCCAAGACGGATATTATATTTAATTTTTGGGGGGACTGATTCATGCTTATTTAACTTTGATTTAAATTAACAACATACGGATCTACAATGAGACTGTCATTCGGATAGTGAATGAATCGCACGTCACATTGGCTTATTTTCTCTCTTAACCTAACAAAGTCTAAAGAGACACTTAAACAGGTATTGTCGGTTCGGATGGAGGGAAAAAATGTTTCTCTTATCTTCCTTATCCATAAAAAGCACATTTATTTTGAGGTTTGTTTCCAATATATCACGACCCAAATTAGTCGAACTATTGATATTCGATTTGAAGTTCATTAACAATTGTCCATAAACCTACTGACACAGAACGGTTTCAGAAAGGTCTACTATTTTGATGGAGCACAACGTTTCACAGTTTGATAACTGAACTGAATTACGATATAAACTAGATGTAGAATATGGCTTGAAATAATCAGACATTCAGAAAAAGAACTGGAATTAATCCTACCTTTAACTGTAGTTGATTTATAAATCAAGTTTAAGTGCCATTTGGTCTAACTTTACTGTCCTCTAATCTAAGAAGACTCAGAGTTTCACCACACTTTAGGACATGGGACCGTTAGTGTAAAGTTAATTACAGTTATATCTGCATAACTCAAGTACAAGTCACATTTTTTTTTTCTTTCTGGAAATCATGTGTTATTTACACTTCTTAAGTCGAAATTTTGACTAATATCCCCTTCACATACACGGATTTTCCTTACGAGTCCTTACGGATCGCCAACTCGTAGTCAATCGCAAGCATCCGTAAATAACTCGCTGGTATCCGTAAATAACTCGTCACAACTCGCAACAACTCGTAGACACTCTTAAGGATCCGTGCAAGGAGAGGCAGATTTGTTGACATGTCAAAAATCTTCTTACGATTGTCCACGGATTGATTTGTCCGTAAATAGCTCGTAACAATCCGTAACCATCTGTAAACCGCTTGCAACAACACGTCACCATCCGTAAACTGCTCGCAAGAATCCGTAAATGACTCGTAACAGATTTTTGTAACGATTCGTTACGGTTAGTTTACGATTTGTTTACGGATTATTTACGGATTATTGCGAGCAGTTCAAGGATGGTTACGTGTGCTTACGTGTTGTTTACGATTTTATTCGGGTCATTTTACGATGGCTTTACGGATTAATACGGGTTATTACGAGCATTTTAAGTGCAGTTACGAATACTTTACGAATAGATACGTATAATTTACGTATGCTTACGAACTGTTTACGATTTGGGGAAAGGTATAACAGCTGCAAATTCGAACACTTCATTTTCAGTTATTATTTTTTTGTCTAAAAATCGTAGGGACTCGTAATAACTTGTAGCTTACTCGTAACTATTCGTAACAACACGTAAACAGGTCGTAACTAACACGTTAGTTACTCGTAGTTATCCGTGACAACTCTTAACAAATTGCAGACTGTTATTGTAAATACATCGTAATAACTCGTAATGATCCGTAATAAACCGCAAACAGCTCGTAATAACCCTTAAACCGGTCGTAAAACTGGCCAAATCATAAGGATCCGTGAAAGATCCGTGAATTTGTGCGATCCGTAAGGACTCGTAAGGAAAATCTGTGTATGTGAAGGGGGTATTAGTCAAACTATTTGTTTGCGGTATCAACCGATTCGACTTATGCAACTAGAAACACATGTTCTGTGGCACATCCAAACAATCATTTACCAGAGACAGATGCAATTCTATGTTTCAGAGGCCTTTCTCAAATGTGTAATGGCAGACACAATCAAGCTTCCAGTTTTCCAATCGAACAACAACATAATTGTGTCTGTTCATTTATATTGTGTAACAATTGAAACCATCCTGTTGAGCTACCTACCTCTTTGACAGCACTTGGGGCAGGGGGTTTGTGATTATCCCCATCATGATCAGAACCAGCAACCGCTCCTTGATATACAATGACCTGACATGTTCAGCACCAAAGGTAAAGGAAAACACATTTTGAAGAAAGTATTGATATGATATTGTGTAATTTTTTTCATTTCCCCTCAGTTTTGTGAGGGTTATTTATTAATTTATTTAAACATTTTTTAAATTTGGGGTTAGTTCCACAGAGTATGTTCCTCAGCACACATTAACTGATTTGCAAGAGAGTACTTATTTATACACGATAACATTTATTAATTTATCTAAACATTTTTTACATTTTGGGTTAGTTCCACTGAGTATGTTCCTCAGCACATATTAACTGATTTGCAAGAGAGTACTTATTAATACACGATACAATTACAGAACAATGTAAAACAAAACAATTATAGAATTAAAAAATATTACAATACATTACAAAACAAAACAAGAACAAAAAGATAGGTTGAGAATAAAAACAGTTTTAGGGCTTCTGATCAAATCTTGAATACATTATCAGCTAAGAATGTATGTGTATTTAAAACCAATAAAAACGGCGAGATATTATAAGGTTCCATTTTCAGACTAGGGCACTAAGAACCAGGTCTTGATACTGAATTATAGGTACAGTTTTTAGGGTAACACAATACAATTATTTCACAGAAATAAGAGCACTGGTTCTTTAGGTATCGACAGTATGATTGTATTTAGGAGAATGACTATATCATTGCCTGGCGGAGGCTATTCATTGCCTTTGAAGGTATTCGATGCACGGCCTCAAAAACTTTACATACAATTTAGTATCTCCCCCATGATAAAACAAGGTGTCGCTGACGCTTGACTCAGACCTTGATATTTGCTTCGCAAGGAGGTAACATCTCTATTAAGGCATGGTGCACTCCATCCACCATTAGACTGATGTGACGATGAAAAAGATTGACTGGTTCTCCATCTCTTTCACCCATCCATCTGACTGCTCTCGCCATCAACCGATGAAACAGCCCATCTGTAGAAATGACAAATGAGAGAGATGACGAACAGATTATGGCTAGTAACATTTTGAAAGCCAGCTCAAACATATATATTAGCTGCAATAATACTTAACGACAAGTATGTATTTCTGAAAAACAAAACACGAGTTTCTAACTAGATGAAATAAACTCGACTATCAACATAGTCATAACTATTTCTGGCTAGTGGCTTTTACAGCTGACCGCCCCGACACGTCCTTTGGAAGGACATTAATCTACATCTGCCACTCTCCACCCATGTGTTAAAAAGGGACCGGCAGGGAGGATTTCTCACTCAAACTTGTCTATTGAGGCCACTCAAAGGAAAATAGAGCAAGGGACCACTGTAGACAGGTGGTCTTTCAGGACACACATTTCTTTCTAAAGGCAGACAAAATGTATGGCCATTATGGACAGGTGGCCACTTAGACAGGTTTGACGTCATACAAACCTTGTTGCAATGTAATTGCAATATACTCTCCATGAAGCAAGAAGGGCATTAACACTATGGTACATTACACGTGTTAATACCCTTCTGGCTGTAAAAGGATGATACATTTATCCTCACCTGGTAAGAAGCCTCTGAAGTCCACATAAAAGTCTGTCATAGATTTGATCTGTGCAATCTCTTCTGGGGGGCAAGGGGACGTCAGTCTGGAAGGAACATAGTAGCGCTTCTGTAGCACCTTCTCTGTTTCATTTGATACCTAAAACATAAAACCATATCCAAACATTTAAACCATCAAAGCAAAACAAAATATACAAGAAACAATTTTTTTTCTTTCTAGATAAATCTAAGCAAATTCATATTTCACTCGTCAAAAGATTGTACACATCCCCCTCCTGCTACTAAAATGTGGCAAGTTTCCGAACAACTTCGACATATTGAGCAATTTTGATTTCAATTTTCAGGAATATACATTTGTAAAAGCTTTCAAAATTCTGCTTAATCCCTACATTTCACAGCACAAAACAGTTTTTAGAAAGAATATTAGGGAACATGTATTCAAATATAAACACAAATTACGTTATCCAAACGAAAGCATATTTAAAATATGGACATTATGTACCCTTTTTCAACCCTGAGTCAATATTTGCACACATACATATATATTTATATTAACCAAGGCTGGTACATATCCCTTATTTGCTCCTATATTGTTTGTATATTTCTAGTCACAATATTCTTAGATTAACGTGAAACACCGAGGTTAACGTGAAACACTAAGGACAACGTGAAACAAGATGTTTAGCACTTGCAATAATTGCTTTTGATGTAATATCTAACCCTAACCCAATTTCTAACCTAATAAGTGCAGGAATGAACCGAAACATATGTCCTAACCCTAACTTTAAACCAAATATCCAATTGTAACCATAAGCCTAAGCCTATAGTTATGATAAAATAAAACATGGGCATTGCCGGGGAGCACGGGTCGGAGCACCATTTAGCTGAAGATTTACCTCAGTGTGTACACCATCCTGTTGCTCTTGCTGGAGTTGTTCTACAGGAGCCTCACAGATGAGATCAAACTTGGCCATGAGCTCGACTAAGGCCTCCTTCTTCTCCGAAAAGCCTTGCCACATATGCTGAATCAACCTATCCTCTAAGATACCATCCTTCTCAAGAGTGTTCCAAGCAGCACTCACGATCCCATCCTGGAATTAAAACACAATGTCAACATACTGGCAGTTGGCATAACCGGACATAGGAGTACAGATTTTAAACCATTAGTACTTTGTGAAGAGAGAGATTTGTAACATCAATATCATAAATAATATTTCCAATCATTTGTATCAATACTCTAAAAGTGTGTCTCTCAAGAGACTTAGTTCAATAGAGCAATGTTCACTCAGGTCATAGTGCCACAGTTTACCACTAAATGTTGTTAAGTGTACTACACTTCTAATCTTCTATCTCTTAACACATATATGCATTGTGTGTCTGAATCCGATGCCGGGGGAAATGATCCATGTGTAAAGCTAGTACAGACAGTTTTGATGTTTTACGCTCTATATAAACCAAGAATATTATCACAAATGGAGGGGAAGTTTTCTCACCCTTTCTGCAGAATCCAAGATGATAATGACCTGCTTGAATACATCAATTAGCCACATGTTCTCCTACGATGTCTTGCGTGACAAACTGCATAGGACCATTGTGGTACGCGATTACTTTTGAATGCTCAATTCCCATTATTGTCGTTATATTTAAAGATATGCTGCAGTTTACTGCAGCAAGAGTGAATGTGGTCGTAAAGGAAGGGGTTTCTCACCCTCTTTGCGGGATCCAGGATGGTTATGACCTGCTTGAAGACATCAATTAGCCATTGGGGATTCAGGATCACCATGTCTCGTAGGAGAGACTGCTGGTCCTCGATACCTCCGTAGTAGACTACATTACCCAGATCGTGGTAAAAGGTCAGCATCGTGAGGTGTTCATGCTCCAATTCCATCCCGACTGACTTCGTCAGTTTCTTGGTCTGGGAGAATGCAAAAATGGCTTCAAAATCATCATATGATTGGTGAAAAAACATCACAAAAATGAATAAATATCGTAACGGTAACACTACATTCAATTTACACAGGACATACACAGAATGTGAATATTTTAATGAAGCAAATCTGTTACAGAATGCAACACGTAGCCTGAATCTTTTCCCAGATTTTGAAAGGGACTACATCCATTAATTGAAAAGGGCACGGAGTGGGCCATTTACAAAATTGAAAGGGTATCGCTGATGGATGCATTTAACTAATGTAGCATTACATATTTTCAACAATACCAGGAGAGTTGCAAGTAGCTATGAAGAAATGAAATAAGGACTTCACTTAATTTTCCTTCAAACTGAAATACGTAAATTAATTTGTTAGAAAATTCAGTACCAACAAATGGAAAATTTGAAAGAAAAACAAACTTTCAAAGGAAAAAAACCTAACTAGGCTTTTAAAACTTTAAGTTCAAATATGAACTATATATATATATATATATATATATATTCAATTGATGTTCAATTTTCTACCACTACAATAAACCGAACGCAAATTACATGAGAATGACAAGAATTAACGTTGCAGTCATACCTGATCTAATGACATGTATTGGATTTCATGTGCAGCTAGAGCTTCCTCAAATAAGAGCCATCTGAGTGGAATCTCTTCTCCCATGTAAGGCTCTGTCTTCGCTACTCTCTCAATGTGTCTCCTCAACGCAACCAGCTACAACGGAAAGTAATTATTTGTGTTTTTTAACGTGACATGCAGCTCAAGATATTTATATCATAATACAAACTTCTAAGTACAACAGCAATATAACCAAATAACATTGGGATTACATCACACAGTAAAAATTTTAAAAAATCAGAAAAAATATTACGAAGATGTGGATAAATAGTTATACAAATAATTAAGGCAGTGTCATTATTGTTATACCTCACTTAAGAAATCCATCCATCTGATTGGTCGAAATTGCAGTCGTGGTTTTAGCCATTCCCGTACATTAACAAAAACTACCAAACCTATGTAATAGTTCTAGAGTAAATCAGTAAAATTCCGGAAAATGTCCAGTTACCGGGAAAATACTTCAGTCTTGCTGAAAAAAACCTATTGGTTCAAGTGTTAAAATCTGGTTTAAGCAGGCGCGGATACCATACATTGTGTGTGTGCGAATTGGTCGCTAGCTTATTTTATTATTTTTTTAAATGTCGATCGTAGTACTAAATCCGTCCTAGATTTTACTTATAGTTTCCAAACAAGGAACAATCAATTGCAAGACTTGATTAATTCTGCTGGCAGCAAGAACACCAAAATGGTACTGCCTACATGAAATTCATAATGAAAACTGTTGGACATTTGTTCTTGAAAATTGTGTGCGCATACGTGTACGTCGCTACAACTACAACACGTAAACTAATACTATGAATTATGACATTGTTGCATCAATTCGACCATATCTTAAGTTACCATTAACGTTATAAATTGGGCCGAAACGCATTTGAAAGCACAGAATATCTGCTCTTTTGTTGAGTAGAAATCATTTCTGGGAAACTTGTAACCCCGCTGCCTTTTGTTCTTGAATGTTGTTACGCATTCACTTTCTGAGACAAAAATATATGGCAGATGCCATAATTTTGTGTTGATACATGTGCAGATAAACTAGAGAAAATTAAGGTGGTGTCATAAGTTGATTCTTTTTTCGGTATATAAAAGTAATAATGACTGCTTTATTTTTCGAGACATAGTTGTTTTTATACGCTCTCGGGAAGGTTACAATCGAGCAATACACCAGTTTACGGTCGTGTGCGCCATTTTAAACAAAGCCAATGACCTAGAGGTCATGTATTTATGCGTAATCGAGCAATTGCCCTTGGCAAGCATCGGGTTATAGGTCGACTTTAAACTGCCCTTGAGCGTATACAAACAACTATGTTTCTCAAAGCAGTCATTATTACTATACTATTTAATGATAACTTCAATTGAACATATTTTTACAGTTTTATTATTACCAGAGGCAATTAAAGCATGAAGCCAATAGCTCGTGTCAAGCTTTCTGCAAAGAATAACTATTATCTAAACCAATGCCATTTGATTTTAGGTTAATAGTAAATGCCTATATTTTATTTTTTTGTCGAGCACAGTGAATGAAAATCAACTTCACTGTATATGAATATGAATTTATGCGCAGTCGATTACATTACAGGAAATATTATTTATCTAAATAACTTCTTGAGAACGTGCATGAAAGTGTTTTGGAAATTATCATAGAATCATATTTAGGTTAGATGTCAAAATGAATACACACCTAGTTAGCAGAGTTAGCAGCTTTTAATAATTTTGTAAAAAGTCGGATATTAGCAGATGGTTATGTCAGCTCTTTGTGTATGAAAAAGCATTTTGATATAGGCCATAGTTAAACTATTGGGATAATATTTAAGACCAAAAATAACCCTGAGTCTAAAATCCATCACATTTCGTCCCATGACTTCAAGCTGTTTTTTTGTATTTTGTTACAGAACAATGGACTGCACTAGCTTAACTTTTTCAAGTGATATATTATTTTTAAAGTGGTCCAAAGATGTTGATAAATTTGAGCAGCACTTTATAACTGCAAGGAAAATTAATTTTACAATTTGGATTGTATGCAACTGGATTGGATAGATAATCAGTAACACTCTTTTGTTACAGGTTAATATAAATTATGAAAGTTAATGATTATTTATGATGTACCACATCGTCTTTGTCCTCTAAGCTATTTTCGATGGCATAATACTCGGGGACCACGTGGTATTGAAACGGCCTCTCCATGATAGATTCACGGATCTTCTTAAAGGCAGAGCCGATCTAGAAGACCAAAAGAATGAAATGAACAGAAAATACAAATATTAGTCATAATGTCAAACCTGCATGCATACCCCACTTTTGATGATAACACGATAATCTATGCACAATTAGAGAATGCCGATAAGAAATAGCATAACGCAATCAAAGCACACCATGATATCTCATTGGTTTTAATACAAGGGAAAAAATTGAGAAACAGATCAGTGAAGAATTGAATAAATTCTTTATACAAATATTACATTTGAAGTTATAATCAATGCAAAACAATTAAAAGTAAAAATTATGAGCTATTAAAAAGAGCAAGCTACAGTAAGTTCAAATATATTTTTCAGTTTTTGTTATTTTTTACAATAACAGAAAGTGTAATTCTGCAGCCAAAATGGATATGTAAAGATGTAAAGAGTGAACACATTGTAGCATCTCATTCATCTCGGTCTGGCCAGATGGAGTCACAACGGAAGAACCGTTGATATCAGAGACTAAAGCGTTCAGTCTAACTCAGGGTATGGTACTTTTTGTTCGATATTCTGGGAATATGCTGTGTGCTGGTCGCAAAAAGAACAGCTAGGGTAAACAAAATTATTATTTTATTATAAACAAACGTGTATATCATAAAGCATTACCTTTTCCCTTTTCTCCTGTGCATCTCCTTTCACACTATCTCGATGCGTACCAACGATGAATATTGGCGGAGATTTCTGGGCGGTTTTAGACGTATTCTTATTCATGACTGAAGACGGCGCCACAGCATGGGCGTAGATGGAATACAACCAGAAATTGATGAACTCTAGACATGTCAGTTCTGATTTGGCACCTCCTTTAACCTGCGTTTTAATTGTAAAGAAGTATGCATGGTAAGGCCAACGATAACAATACACAGAAAAAACATACTTGGTAATCATTCTAACAGGAGAACGCATTCATATCCCACTCCTCACATCCAACATATTTTTTTGTTTTAGTTGTTGAATGATTTATTGGTTTATTTATCTTTAGTGTCTTCCAAAATAACATACCGATTACAGCATGATATTCGAATCATATAACTAACACATTATTATAATTATGTACCTACATTGTAATATTAAAATAAAATAATCATGAAGAAGGATTGCAACATAAACTAAGCTTGAGCCGTGGCAATCCTTTTTACTACTCCATAATTACTGTATATACAAAAAGAATATCAAGGGAAAATAATTCTTGCTATAGTAAGAGAGATAGAATTCAATAAAGAATAGGGATGAAATAAGACGTATGAGAAGATGACATGCGGAGATGGTACATTAATCATGAAGAGAAATAGCAGTAATCCTTGATATTAAATTGGTAAAACATTACAGTTGCTAAATGTTATTTTTTTCACAAAAGCTGATCACTTTAATGTCATGCCCAAGTGTGGACGTGATTGGCAGGATGACATTGTAGGCCTACGTGTATTTTCGAACAGAGATAAGTGGACTTTCAAAGGGATAGAAATTTCAACTATGTAATCTCAAAACCCTGCTCCGAAAAGTGAAGGAAAACAAAGTTTAATATATCACTGATTTAATCGTACCAACAATTTACACAAGTAAATGTGTCATGCAATATTGATTATTAATTATCAATTGATTGCTGGTCGCTACTGAATGGTAAACTGGTTTTCAAATGGTAAAAAATGGTATATGTGATCTCTTTTTTTTTTCTTGTTTATTTGCAGGCAGTACAAACTTGCCTTTTCACAAAATACTCTTTAAGTTATTCGCGCTTGTATACAGTGTTCTTTTTCCCCGCATTTTAGTGTAGTCCCTTTTTCTTCTGAATTGCCCATGCACTACAGTAACCTTATCCTTTTTTCTACTTCTTATTTTCATGTTTAAGCTACTCTTTCCTCTGATATTTGTGTACATTAAGGTTCATTGCTTGTACCCAGTATGCAACTAGCGTACAATGCCAGCAGTCAATGTGTACATTTCACTGCACCTGTTCACTTCGCTGAAATATGTGTTTTGTTATGTACTTTTCATCTTTGACCGTGGGTGTGTGTTTCCCCACACACTGTAACTTACTCTCAATTTGCATATTCCAGGGATATGAGTACAAGTCATTCCTCCCAATCCATTCTATGTTGGATCGATGTTGATTATTTAGTTACAGCCGTATTTATATGAACACGTTTTGGTTGACAGAATGCTACACATGTCTGATAGCTATTAACAAAAAAAAAACAAAAACAAAAACATGTATTTATTGTCTGTCTGCAGTTGTGCTCTGGTTAATCTATCTAACAGTAAGTTAAAAACCACTGCTTTGACTCGATCACTCTTGTACAACAATATGTATTAATTATGTATAAATATTGAGCTTGTTCACTCACTTTGAACGTATTGAGAAATTTCCCTCGTGATACCTTTGATATCTTGCGTTTATTCTTTTTTTTGGTGGTGGCCAGATAAGCCCCACAAGGCTCCGTAAACTATTTCTCATGTTTGCCTCAAGCTATCATATCTTAAGCTATAATATGTTAAGTGTTTGGGACCTGGGCGTGATGGTACGGGGTGTGGTCCTTAGTGAGAGGCGTCGTTGCTCTCTTTGCATGTTTGTCTGTTTCTCTGTCTTGCTTCTTTGTTTGTCTGTGTTGCTCGTTGTCGTTTACTGTTACTCGTACACTGTAAATGTTAAAAAATTCCTCCAATGGCCTTATATGTATAAAGTAGTTATTGGTTATCATGATGTATAATAAGTTGAAGATTATTTCTATGAACTGTAGAGGTCTGGGAAACTCTCAGAAAAGAAAAGATGTACTAAACTATTTAAATGCAAAATATGCTAGCATTTGTTTTTTGCAAACAAATGCTCAAACGCTCGGGGGGTGGCGATACTCTTTGACGTAAATATTAAATGCGAAATTAAAAAACAAATATGTGACAAAAATGGTAATTTCATTGCTTTAAGCATTTATATGGGACAGTTGGAGTTTTCTTTAATTGCACTTTATGCCCAAAATGATGACTGTCCCATCTTTTTCCAAGAATTGGAGAATATTATATTAGATCTTAATGATCCTCTTGTAATTATGTGTGGGGATTGGAACCTACTTCAAGATTTTGATTCGGACTCTTACGAAATTACGTAATTACGTTAGATTAAATAATAAAAATGCTCAGCGCAAAGTTTTGGAAATGAAGAACAGTTTTCATTTAATTGATCCATGGCGCTGTACCCATCCAGACATAAAACAGTTTACCTGGAGACAACCTAGTCCTTAAAAACAAGGGCGACTAGATTACTTTTTGATATCAAACCAGCTATTTTCGTTAGTATCAGATTGTAAAATTAATAATAGCTATAGATCTGATCATGCAGGGATTAGTTTGGATCTTATGTTCGGTACTGGTCTAAAGAGACACACATATTGGAAGTTTGACAATTCTCTCTTAAAGGAAGAGCAATATACACAAACTGTAAAGGATAAAATAAAAGAAATCACTTTAGATTATATTGAAAAAAAATGAACAAGATGATACAAGGTTTGAGGATATTGACAAAAACAGTTGTAAATTTATTCTCAATGAACATTTTTTTTTTTAAATTCTTTTGATGGAATTGAGAGCATGTACTGTTATATATGGAGTAAATAAGAAAAAAGAATTTGATAAAATAGAAAAACAAATAGAGGAAAAGATCGAACAGTTGGAATTGAAGTTAAATTTGGGCATTAGTGATAAAGATAGCATATTAGAACAAATGATATCCCTCAAAGAAGATTTGGAGACAAAAAGAAAGGAAAAGCTTAAAAGAAAGGAGGAAAGTATTTTACTACAAGAACTACAATATGGTGAAAAACCCTCCAAATATTGTTATAACCTTATAAAACAAAGGCGTGTAGAAAAGAGAATTATTCAACTTGTTGATAAAAATGATAAAATAGATAAAATATTGAATACGGAAGAGGAAATTAAGAACGAGGTGGAAATATTTTACGAAGACCTTTATAGATTTCGAGAGGTATCAGATTTTCAAGATATATTACATGATCTGGAAGAAACAGATCATAACAAGATTTCAGATGAAAAAGTAAAGGAGTTGGGTAAAGAAATTTGTCTTAAAGAAATTAGCAAAGTTGTTGGTAACTTAAAACTTGGTAAAACACCCGGACAGGATGGGTTTACTGCAGAGTTTTTCAAGTTTTTTCTTAAAGATATAGGGATTTATTTAATGAGGAGTTTGAACGCAGCATATGTTTGTGGAAGATTTTCACATTTCCAAAATTTAGGAATTATAACCCTACTACCTTAAGGTAACAAACCTCGCAATCTACTTAAAAACTGGCGTCCTATATCTTTGCTCAATGTCCAATATAAGATTCTTTCTAGTTGCATTGTAAACAGAATAAAACCATTGTTAGACGAAAACATACATACAGATCAGAAAGGCTTTCTGTCCGGTAGATACATCGGAGAGAATATCAGAATAATTTATGAAATAATTTCTTATGCAGATCATAAAAATATTCCTGGGATATTACTTTTTATTGACTTTGAAAAGGCGTTCGATTGTGTTTCACATGATTTTCTATGGAATGTATTACATTTCTTTAATTACGGGGATAAAATTATCCAATAGATCAAACTACTATATTCAAATTCTGCTTCAAATGTGTTTATTAACGGTTGTTTAACCTCGCGTTTTAATATTAAAAGGGGTTGCTGACAAGGAGATCCGCTTTCTCCATATTTGTTTCTATTATGTGCAGAAATTTTAGGCATGTTGGTCAGAAAATCCCACAAGATAAAAGGTTTAGTTATAGAAAACAAGGAATATATAATATTACAATACGCTGATGATACAGTGTTGTGTCTCGATAGTACAGAAAGTTAACATTATGCTCTGGAGCTATTAGAGTTCTTTTCTCAGTATTCAGGTTTAAATCTTAATATTAATAAGACACAGATATTGTGTATCGGTTCCTTGAAAAAAACTGTAAATATTGATTTACATCAGGTTCATGGGACTGACATATCGTTGGTTAACGGGGGATTCATAAGGTATTTGGGAATAGACTTTGGTATTGATTTAGAAAAGCTTCCGGATTTTAACTACGACAGAATATTTGATAAACTAAAAAGGCAAATGATATCTTGGTCGAAACGTAACATTTCTGTTTTTGGTCGCGTGGTCTTGGTGAAATCACTGCTAGTCTCACAATTTAACCATTTATTTATGTCCATTCCTAACCCTTCTGAACATCTTTTAAAAGCAATAAATGTCTTTTTTTTTAATTTATTTGGAAAGGGAAACCTGATAAGATTAGCAGAAAACAGATGGTTTGTTCTTACGAAAATGATGGATTGAAAATGGTTGATGTTGTACAATTTTTCTAGAGCTTTGAAACTGACCTGGATTAGAAGAATATTGTTGAACTCATGTGAAGACGTTACCCATTTAATGTACGCTTTCTTACGTCCACTATCATCATTCGAATGGGGTAAAGGTGATATATATATATTTCACTAAATTATCATTTATGCTAAGAAACTGTTTTTGGAAAGAAATTTTCCAAATACTAGCTTATTTTGTCCGCCAGGTTCAATGTACTACTACTCCTTTTTGGAAAGCTATTTCTATTTGGTATAATTCTGAGATTAAAATTGGAGGAAAGGGTATATTTTTAAAAGAATGGTGTGATAAAGGTATTCGATTTTTAAACGATTTATTAGATGATCAAGGACACATCTTAGCAATAGAAGAGTGTGAAAAAAAGTTTTCAATCAATATACAGTTTCTTCATTATTATGCACTATGTCAAATAATTAAATGCAAATACAAGTCCCAATTGGAAAGGTGTAATATGAAGGTTAATGGACCATTGTGCCCTGCATATATTTCATGCTTGTTGAAAGATGAAAAAGGATGTAGACATATTTATCAAATTATGTTAAAAGAAAAGGATAAACATTTGAATAAATTATGTAATAGATGGCATGCAGATGGTGTATTATTTGATGATAAATATATGCAATATTATTTCAGGGTTATGTTTCGCTGTACAACGCATACAACAATATATCAAGAATAGTTACACAGATGAGAGGCAAGTTAGTATATTTGCTAACAAAACTGACAAATTCGATAAAAAATGGATACATTTTGAGAGGATTTTGATCCTTTAATAGGAGTATATTGAATTTCCCACATCATTTTCAGTCATGATGTTGCATTATTATTATTTTTTTCTTTCCCTTATCTACATGTATGTTCTGTATATACAGTATTATGGTTGATATTCGTTATGTATATTTCATTATAAATATTGTATGATATTCATTGGAACATGTGTTCAAATATGTTATCTTGAGATTGATTTTCAATAAATGGCCTGTTGGAGGGTCCAAAAAATGGGGGGGGGGGGAAGCATTAATCCAGACGGAAACAGGTTAAATCTACGTTTAAAAATAGTCAAAAAGAACAAGAGCTTACACAACATCTATACTTTAAAAACACATTGTATACGATTAATGGATGATGAGCAAAAGTAAAACTTTACAAATAACTTTAGGAAAATAACTGATGTTTGGCAAAGAAAGCACAACACTATTTAACATTTATCTATCCCCTGTTAAGCATAATTTATTTTTGCTAAGCAGTATAAAATAAAAGAAAACAATACCATTTCATAATTCTTGTCTCTGGATACATGGGGAACGACAGAATCCAAACTTCTACTGAGATCAAAGACAATCACATAAATAGCTCGCCACGTCAGAAACACCTGCATGAGAAAGGAATACAAGTGATGCATAGGTACTTAATAACTATAATGCTATATTGTTTCTATATGCTCTAATATTTTCGATAATAATAAGGAACCTCAGGCACTGTTTATATACGATTAACAACTAAATGGTTCATACCCTTTGGTGTGTGTATGTGTGTGTATGTGTGTGTATGTGTGTGTGTTTCGTAACTCGTAAATCCAAGGTGGACTGATTAAACGAGGGCCTTTGTTAAATACTTTTAGATGTTAGTTTCAATATGTCACATTCTTAAGAAACATACATCTCGACAATTCAATTGTTTACGTACTTAAAAAATAGAAAACTTGATAAGGGTATGAATAATTTAGTTGTTTAATGTATTGATATATACGTATAATTAAGCAATAAGGGCAAGAGGTCTTTAAACTACAATATCTTTTCTCAAACCCAAGACAATGCATTCATTTAGAAAAACTTACTGATGTAGATCCTCTTGCTCCATATATATAAACATTATTAATTGCATATTATTATCAAATCCTAGATAACTCTGTGACAATGACAGGTCAAAGGAATAACAAAGTTATGTTGACAAAGAAATAATATTACAAAATTAAGACATAGTTCTTAAGTTTTTGCTGTTTACATCACTTTTCAGAACATTATCACAAGAGAAATATCAAAGATTTAGAACAAGAAAGCCATACTGGATGTATAGAAAACTGTAGTCAATACAATTCATTCAATTTTTTCTATGGAATCTAACAATACTTTACAAATTTGCTTTCAAGGCACCATGGTATAATATACAAGGAATCTAATGTTCTTAAAATGTTATTTTACCTGATGGGTTGAGTAATATATGTCGTGTCCAGCAAAATCCCATATACTTAGTGAGACCCCTTCTCCTCTACTGCTATCATCCCTGTCTGTTCCTATCTCCTAATTGTCAAAAATTAAATGTATTAAAAATAATGGAAACATCAGTAGGCATCCTGAAGACAATTACAAACTACAAAATTTTTTAAACTGATATCATGAAGAAATTTCTATATAACAAAATGTAGCATAATTTTTAGCACAGAATGAGCAAAAACATATAGTATTAAAGCAAATAACCATTGTATATACTATTTATATATATATATATATTCACCTTTTTTTTCTCCATGAAAACCTGTTCCAATATTTTTCTTTTTACATAGATTTTCACCCCACCCATGACACCAAACAAGATTGAGATCAGCCGGTATGCTTATATGTATATTTTTCTTGGAATTTGAAATACTGTTACTTTTCATCCCTCCATTTATCATGGTCTAATGGAGTATATGCCGTTATACACTTTTGTGGAAACACACCATAATCTGTCGATAGCATTAACTGTAACAGATTAGCATAGGTGGATGTCAGAGGTATATATATCTGTAACTGCTGGCAGTTACAGCTCTGTATAAATGTTTAATATTTAAGGTTATGTTACACAACGCTCACTTTTCAGACAGTCATCTGGTGAACCTGGTAACTTATGTTAGCCACGCAAAAAGATATTGCGCTTCTGAAGAAACAGACTAATTACATTCTACAAAGGATAACTCGTACCGGTATTTTTTTAATTAAAGGTACACACATTTGTTAATTCTGGGTATCCTGTGGTAACACGTGAAGAGATTATGCATACAAGGATATAGATCCTATAACAACATGGAACAAATAAGTGTAAGATTCTAGGATAAAACAAAGGCATTGTAGAAAATCTTGTACATATTAAACCACATAAAGATATAACGTTAAACATTGAATTCTACCTTTTGGTTAACCTGTTCCTTAAGCATTTTCTCCACCAGACTTGCTATGTGATTCGGCATATTGTCACCCTTCTCTTTAGCCTTGGGCGCCTCCACACTATCGAAGACAGATTTATCTGTAAGAAAGAAGAAATGTTGTTGTTGGATATATACATTCATAATTAATCTACATCTGCCACTCCACCCAGGTGTTAAAAGGGTACCAAGAAGGATGCGAACGTTAAAAGGCCCGGTCACTCATAGAGGACACGTAGGGGACACACGGCCCGCGCATTGAAAATTTGCAATTTTGGCCAGTGCGTTGTCGTTCGCTAGGTGTGCGTCATCATTCGTTACTCGTTCGTCGAGCGCGCTAGACCATCATGCATTCGTCGTCATTCGCTGTGTGCGTCGGGATTTTTTGAGCATACTCAAAAGTGTGCGCGGAGCTCTACGCATGAATGTACACGCCAAAAGGACGCCAGACATGTGCGGAGCGCGCTAGGCCTATACCAGATATATGCGGAGCACACGCCCTGTAAACGCACAGCGCGCTGGCAAAAGGCTATGCATTCGGTGTAAGCTCGCTGGCTTCTCCTATATCCTGACAAAATTCGGGATCACGTCTTTTTCCGATTTTCAATGCGCCGGCCGTGCGTCGTCTATGCGTGACCTGGCCTTGAGAGTTGATTAGTTGGCATGTGGCGTTTGTAAAATGGCGCCTGGTCAAAATTGAGCATGTGCATTATCATTCTACTACCTAAAAATAGACTTTAAAAGTTCGAATGCGACTATTTTAAATCATAACCATTAAAGACCGTATCCGAACTGAAAAATTAAATGGATGAATATACATCATATGAAAACTTATAAGCTAAATATTAAAATAATATCAATTATATGCCATTTCAGTGTCTGTCAGAGGAGTATCAGCTCTCTGAAAACTAAAAAATTTAAAGCTTTGTATTAAAATTGGAAGTTGTCGTCCTAAAAACGTGATATCGACTTTATGACATCATCTTATATTATGTGGGGTCTGCATATCCACAATGACTTTGCATTACTCAGGCACGGCTCATCACCTCAGCTATAAAGGTAAACCGATCGGGTCCACATGTTATGTCGTCACTGTAACTTTGGCAAATGTTGACCCCTGTTGACCCGTAATTTCGAGTGGTATGGAAAATGAGGTTTTTATTTGCTTGTGTGCAATAATGAAAGAGTAAATATTTTTGTTTTTCTTTATTTTTGTATTCTACATTCATTCAGTTTCCCTCTATATTAAGTTGTATTTTCATTGGATAGGGTTTTACATATTTTGAGAATATTACATGTAACTGACATTTAACAAGTCAGAATTGATTGCAGTTTAAATTGATCACTGGGTTATAACAATTTTTTCTGTGATAACACATTAAAGGAAGTTTAAACAAGTAAATATTTATTTGTTATCAACTTTTATTGATACTTTATATATTACGGATAATGAATTAATGATTGATCGAGTGGTAAAGAAAGCAACAACAACAAAAAAGAAGGGAAAAAAACATGCACAAACCTGCTTCTACCGGATTCAGGCCTCTACCGACAGTAGTATCGCTGTGTGGTTCTAATAGTCCTTGATCCTGTTCACGAAATAAACCAGTATTTAGATTTTCATCGAGCAGCTTGCACTAACCGCATTGCAATTAACAAATATAACTTTTTGTTAAGTGGTCGATGAGACGGTTACTCTCAAACTTGTTTTGCATTTACACTGTCATTCTGGACTGGTCTAAAGTAATTCATTGTGTCATTGCATGACTGACTAAACCACATAAATATACAAGGTTAAAAACAGGAATTTTACCTTTAGGTGAACCTTTTTCTTAAGCATTTTCCGCACCAGACTTGCTATTCGATTTGGCATATTGTTGCCCTTCACTTTAGCCTTGGGCGCCTCCACACTATCGAAGACAGATTCTTCTGTAAGAAAGAAGAAATACTTATATGTTTTTGTAGGACATATACATTAATAATTAATCTACATATGCCACTCCGCCCAGGTGTTAAATGGGTACCAAGAAGGATGCAAACGTTAGAGTGGTTGGATTTGCATGTGTGCGTTTGTAAAATGGCGCCTGGTCAAAATTGAGCATGTGCATTATTATTGTACCACCTAAAGATGGCCTTCAAAAGTTCGAATGTGACTATTTTTATCATAACCATTAAAGACTATATCCGAACTGAAAAATTAAACAGGTAGTGTACCTTGGTGGATGAATCATGAAAAAACAATACTGTGCGTGAAGAATCCCTCCTTGTAAAACGATGTGGATAACTTCAGGTCCACAACATGCCTTCCACTTATTTTCCTATGAAGATCGGAAAGACAATATCCCTTAGGCAAGGAGTCTGAGACTCTCAATCACTTGATGTCCATGGCTGACATAAAGCTCGACGGGATGGATGATGGGGTGGACTCACTAGTGAACTTAATCCATGTGTTTAGTGATGACATTGGAATTGACTTTAGACTCAAGAAGTGTGGTATTCTCATACTAAAGAGAGTGAAGGGTGAGAAGAATGATGGAATCACCATGCCTCATGGACGCAAGATGAAATCATTGGAAGAAGATGGCTGCAAATATATTGATGTACTGGAATAGGAGACCTATTACATGGACGTATGAAGGAAGTCTTGCGAATTGGAAGGCTAGGCCACTACATGGTCAGCTGATGACAGTATGACAGGTCCTGGTACTGGAAGAAGAAGGGATACCCGAAAAGAAAACAAAATCAATAATATGTTTTGTTTACCCAGGGTAGCTTCATCAGTTTTCATACTGTTCTCCATGAGAGCCCTGCATTCAGAAAGAGACAGAAGGTCTTATCACTGCCGCTCAAGATCAAGCACTGATGACAAATTCATTCAAGGCGAAAGTTAAGAAATAAGATGTGTCCCTACTCTAAAGAATATGTGGAACAAAGGAAGAGACAACAGGCCATCTGATCAGTACAATCAGTGAAATGGTGTGTTCACTACCTCCAACGACACAACGATGTATCCAGATTCATACAATGGATCATTGTCAACAGTTGACTTGAAGCTAAAGAAAAGTGGTATGATCACGAGCCAGGAAAGTTGGTAAAAAATGGTGACAAAAAATTGCTCTGTGGTTTTAACATCCAGAAAGATCGACTGATCCAGGCCCGGAGACCAAATATAGTAGTGGTGGACAGAAAAGAGTGCCAATGCATAGTAATTGATATAACGGCGCCAGGTGATGCTAGGATTACTGAGAAAAAGAAGTAACATATTGAAAAGTATCAAGACCTTGAAGGAGAACTGCGAAGCTGTGAAATACCAAGACATGTTGTGGTTGTTGGTGCATTAGGCATGATCACAAGCAGGTCCACTTGGTACCGCAAGACTGATACGAAAACAAGTATTCGATGCCTACTGTTACATATTGTAGCTTGCCCTCAGTATGCCTATCATATAAAACCAGCATAGATCAAGCAGAAATATTGCGAAATAACTACAATGATAATTATTATAACAACAATAATAATAATAATTATAATAATAATAGTAATATGATGATACTAACAATAATAATGACAATATGTACTTGAAAATATATATGCTTTTAGTTTTCAGATAAAAGTGTTTTATTTTCCTCAATTGTCAGTTTCAAAAAATCAAAACGTCAGAATTAACGAAAAACTAATAATGCAGAGAATCAGAATTAAATGTGGTTGGATTGGCTTTGGTGCATTTGTAAAATGGCGCCTGGTCTGAATACTCATCAGGGTGTGGAGCATGTACATTATCGTTATACCATCTAAAGGCCTACAAGTGTGACTATTAATATCATTATTATTGTTATGATAATATTTCACGTAGCTGACATTTGTTAGGTCAGAATTGGTAGCAGTTTAAATTGTGCACCGAGTTATGAAAAAATATAATGTGATAACACTTTAAAAGTAGTTTCAAGAAGTAAATACTTATTTGTCATCAACTTTTTTTTATCATACTAATACTTTATATATTATGGACGATGATATAAGGATTGATCTAGAGTTAAGAAAACAAACACAAAACACAAACAAATCAATGC